TCCCCTGCATCGGCAGGCGGACTCTCAAGCACTGCGCCACCAGGGAAGCCCCATGCATAATTCTTATCCGTATGAACAGTCCCTACAGTGCCCAGAAGCTTTTGCTACCTGCCAGTCCCTGTGCATGCATGGACCTGCGTGCATGTGCTTAATTTTTTCACCTATTTCCTCACTCAGTAAGTAGTCACAGGGTCGCAGCTTCTCACTGGAGAAGGCCCAGCCCTGCCTGTCCTCCTAGTGCCCACGGCCCAGAGAGGAGGCAGACAAGGAACTAGGCAACCTCACTGTGGGGGGTCAGCATTTTTGGGGAAAGCCTAAAGGGAGAAGGGGCTCCATACCCAGCTGTGGGATTCAGGAAAGTGTCCTGGTAAAAGGAAGCTTTAGGTCAATACCTGAAAGATAACTAGAGTTAGCCTGGTGAGGAATGGTGCTCTGGTCAGACGGAAGAGCCCCTGTAAAAGCCCAGAGGCAAAGTGGGTTCAGAGAAATTAAAGGAATTCAACCTGGCTGGAGAACAGAGTGTATATATTTAGGGGCTGGGGGAGGAGATAAGGGGGAGGGGACTGGTAAGGGAGGGGGCTACAGGAGAAGGCAGAAGCCAGTGCAAAAGCAGAGATATGAAGACTGCCCAGGGTGTTTTGGACACACTTATGCCTATACTTAGGTAGGTCCATGGGCTTGTACAGGCAGATACTGCTCTACGCAGACCTGCCTCCCCCTGCCCTGTGGTGGGATGGATGATGGGTTTTAATGCCTTATCTCACTCCCACTCCCGCACATGCACACATATCCCTGAGCAAGTGGACACCTGCAGACCAGCTCTGAGCAAAGCAGAAGTAAAACTTTTGTGTGCCACTGAGGGGGCGGCCATGTACCAGCCCACGGGGAGTTTCCAAGGCTGGATGAAGACCCCTCTTTTTACTTGGGAGATGGCTCCCTAGAAGATGCAGGCTTCCTTCCCAGGATGGGGAAAGGCAGGAGAGGAGTGATGTTGGTCTGAGTCCCTGAGGAGGAGGGACAGAGCTCTCTAGCGAGCAGAGAAGGGCAGGTGGGTGACACGGGAGGAGGGAGTGAGTTCCCAGGGGACTTCATGGGTGGCCAGAGGGGCAGGACAGGGGAGGTGAGGGTCTGGCTAGGGTGGATGTGGAGGGAGTGGGAAGGAGTGGGTATCTGTGCAGCAAAGAGGCTGAGGCTTTGGGGGTAGAGGACACTCGGGGCTTGGAGAGGGGGCACCCAGAGTTGGCCCTACTTGGTTACCCCAGTTCCCTGGCCCACACCCCGATGTACTTTACAACTACCATCACTATGGGGGAGGAAACGGGCTCCTTTCTGCAGTCTGGATGCCTCAGGCTATGGGAGCTCAGTTATTGGGTCCATTGGCCTCTCAGTCAGGCTCTGTCCTAGCAGTGACAGCCCCAGTGAGGGCGTGGATTCAGAGGAGAGGTGAACCACAGCCCAGCTGTCAGGAGCTCGCATCCAATCTGGAGCTGTGGCAGACAGGCCAGACTGACCGTGGCAAGGGCTGAAGGGATTTGGAGGCCAGTAGTGATCCAGGGGTAGTTACTGAAGGGCATGGGGTATTTAGGCAAGGGGCTGGAGGTGTGGCCCAGAGGGGAGAGGCTAAGGGTCTGACATCATAGGCCAAAGGGAGATGGGGCTGGTTCCATTCTGGGCAGGTTGGGCAGAGAGGGATTTGTGGTGCCAGAGGTGGATTGAAGGGAGGGGAGCTGCCAAATGCCCTGTTTGCTCATAAGCAGTTCTTGTCTCTGCTTCCAGCCTTACCCTTCAAGGTGGTGGTGATCTCGGCAATCCTGGCCTTGGTGGTGCTCACGATCATCTCCCTCATCATCCTCATCATGCTCTGGCAGAAGGTAAGCCCCACCCTTGCCTGATGGGTGCAGACTGGCACACCATTTTTTGCATGGACCCCCCTGCCATCCCCTATTGCTGGAGGATCGGGCCATGGTCGGGGCCCAGCGTGGAGCTCAGGTGTGAAGTGATGCTGGGTGTTTGAGCTGCTTTCAACCCCAGCAGCCTGGGCAACGTGGGCCTGGTCCAGGCCATCCAGGGTGCCCTGTCTCTGCTGTGCACCCTGCTTTCCATCCAGAGTCCTGCTCAGGCATCATCCCTGCCCGTCGCAACCACAGGGCATGGGACCTTCAGGGTGGACTTCACGGGCTCCAGCATTCTTCCAGCTCTGACTCCCAGACTTCTACTGAAAGGCATTCTAATCCTTTAAATCTGTCATTTCAATGGACTGTTCTGAGATTTCACCATTCCGTGATTCCACCGTAGGATTGCAGCACCCCATGATTCTATCATTCTCAGATTCCAATCCCGTGACTCCAACATCCAATGATTTCAACACTCTAAGGTTATATCTTTCTGAGATTCCCGCCGTGACTGATCCAGCTTGGGGAGGGGCCATCCGCATCCAGTGGAATGTCCCTGCCTTGTGTTACCTTCCAGGGCTGCCTGCTCCTGTCTTCCCATCTTAGGAGCGGCCCAGCCTCTGGGAGAAGCTGGTGCGGAGGTTCTGATGAGCCTGCCCCTCAGCTGTCAGCTGCTCCTCAGCACCTCCCCCTGACATCTGTTCCGTGGAGCCCATGAAGGCCTTGGCTCTACTGATAACTTGCTGTGTGGCTTCAGATATGCCCCTCAGCCTTTCTGGGCTTCAGGTTTTCCTGCCCCATCTGTTTCATAAGGAGCTGGACCTAGTGGTCCTCCTCTGATGATCCGTCCCTCGTCTTGGTCCTGCAGAAGCCACGCTATGAGATCCGATGGAAAGTGATTGAATCTGTGAGCTCTGACGGCCATGAATACATCTACGTGGACCCTATGCAGCTGCCTTACGACTCCACCTGGGAGCTGCCGCGGGACCAGCTTGTGCTTGGTCAGCCCAGGGAGGCCTCAAGTGGCAGTCTGGGGACTTGAGGCGGGTGGGAACACTGATGTCTGAGCACAGCCTTGCCATGATTAGCTTTGAGACCTAGGGCTGACGTCTTGCCTTCTCTGGCCCTAGGGCCCCGCCCTCTGTACAGTGGTGGCAAGATGATCCCCCAGGGACCGTCCAACGTTGAGGTCCTATGATCCAATGGTGCTGTGAGGCGGGACCCCTTCGTGGCGAGAGAGGAAGTGTTAGTCGAGTGCCAGGCCTGCGCTTAGTCTAGCTGGAGAGGCTGAGAGAGCGTGGAGGAGCTGTGCTCGCCTCTGTGGGGAGAAGGCCTCCAGGGACTAAGGACGGGCCAGAAAGCAGGCAGGACTTAGGCGAGACCAGGAAGGTCCGCGGAGCACAGTGACTTTAGGAGTGTCCGTCGGAGAAACACCTTAAGTCCAGGGTGGCTTGAGGGATGTCTAGCTTGACCTCCGAGAGCGTAGGGGGGGTGCAGCTTCCCAGTGCGCCAGGAGCTGAGAGACCATCTCTTCCCCAGGACGCACCCTGGGCTCCGGGGCCTTTGGGCAGGTGGTGGAGGCCACGGCTCACGGCCTGAGCCATTCGCAGGCTACCATGAAAGTGGCCGTCAAGATGCTGAAATGTGAGTCCTGGGAGCCCGCCCCTCCCTTACCTCTCCGCTGCCCCCTCCCCGCACATTCAGGCAGTCCCAGAGCAGGCCTCACGCTGATTCTCCCGGCACAGGAAGTGCACTCACACCAGAGCCAGTAGCACTTTTGATTCTGCTTTGGGAACGAGGCTTTCTCACCCTGCCCCCTCCTCCGGGAGCCTCCCCTCCTCCTCCATCTTCCTCCCATCCTCTTTCCTCTTCTCCTGTGCACGGGTCCTCACCTCCCTCGGCCACCTGGGTCTTACAGCACAGCCTGGGACAGAAGAGCCAGAATAGGCCCCAGCGGGGCGTCTGCGGGGCCTCAGTGACTGGAGCAAGCCTGAGGGCCCCCTCTCTCCCTCAGCCACAGCCCGCAGCAGCGAGAAGCAAGCCCTCATGTCGGAGCTGAAGATCATGAGTCACCTCGGGCCCCACCTGAACGTGGTTAACCTGCTGGGGGCCTGCACTAAAGGAGGTACAACCCACCCCTAGAGGATTCTGGGGAAGTGCCAGTGGCCGAGGCCTGGCCCCTCCCCGCCCTCTCCTCAGTTCACGGACAGGACACTCCAGCTGGAGGGTCCGTGCCCACCCTGTCTAGTGCCCTCACTTCACAGAGGCAGATGGGTGTGAGATTTAGCAAGTCACCAAATCACATCACCTTCAAGACCAAAGGACTCTAGTTCACCAGTCCTAGCGGCTTCCAAATCAAGGGGTTCTCTGACATTTAAAAAATGTTCACGATACATTTTATTTTATTTTATTTTTACTTATTTATTTGTTTACAATACCTCTGAAAAACTATAAAAAGTGACAGCTCGTGTGACCCTGAAATGAGTTATAGCCCCGCCTCTGGAGCCCATCAACTACTTGCTCACTGTGAGCTGCTTTCACTCGGATCATAGAATAAGGTCTCTCCAGCCAAATGTGTTTATTTGAAGCTCTGATTACAAGTTAGGCCGCCAAAAAAAAAAAAATGTTATCACTATTTGCAGCTGCTTATTGTAAGATTTGGGATTTTCCTCGGTATTGTGCAACAAAAACAGAATACAGAAGTACGCCGTGTACGTAGGCCAATTTATGTCTGCAGTGATCACACATTTCAAAATTTTTGATTCCACCAGTACGTTTAAGCTGCCACTGATTGACTTTAAGTCAATGTATCGTGTTTGAATTTAAACAGTAACCTGGTAATAAACAGTTACCTTTGTTTATTTTGTATCCTGGGCTCCAGAATCAGCTTTATCAATAACAGCTAACCCTGTGCTTGCTACTTGCCAGGCATCGAGCTGAGCTGACAAAGGCATTGTCTCATGAATACTCAATGCAGCCCTTTGGGGTGGGTGTATTACTAGCCCCATTTAATAGATGGGGAAAGTAAAGCTCAGGGAAACTAAGTGCCTTGCTCACGGTCAGGAAAGTCCAGGTTTGCCTGGCACCTAAGCCTCCTTGCTGACCCATGTGCAACCCATCATTAGCCTCATGGCCCTGATGGAAAGACCCGCCCCCCCCCCCCCCCCCGCCACCAAAAAAAAAAGCCCCCCCCCCCCCCCCCCCCGGGGACTGTCCCTGAGCCTGTCCCTCCGCAGGGCCCATCTTCATCATCACCGAGTACTGCCGCTACGGCGACCTGGTGGACTACCTGCACCGCAACAAGCACACCTTTCTGCAGCGCTGCTCCAACAAGCGCCGCCCGCCCAGCGCTGAGCTCTACAGCAACGCCCTGCCCGTTGGGCTCCCGCTGCCCAGGTACTGGAGGGAGGGCAGGACCTGAATCTGTGGGGAGCCCTGAGGAGCTCCTGCACTCCTTCCTTGTCCAGGACAGAAAGCTGAGGTGAGGGCGGGCAGAGCCACTCCTGGAACCAGGTTTCACTTGTTTCACCAGCCAGCTCAAGACCTGGCCCCTGGCCACCCCAGAGGTGGGCAAAACAATGACGGTGGTGATGATGGTGGCATCGGCTACCACCTACTGACTGTCCGCGGTGTGCCAGGCCCTGCGCTGAGCACTCTGGAGGTTCAGAGGGCGTGACCCCCTTGACCCCTCACCCCACCCCATCTCATCTTCTCCTGTCATTGACAGGGGGCACCTGGGGCCCTCCTGTCCCAGGATGACCCCCTCTCCAGTGCTCCACACTCTACTCCTCCCTCGCCACAGCCTCCCCCCTCCTCCCCGTACCACTCCCTCCAGTGCCTCCAGGGCAGCTCATCCCCTTTCTTCTTTTTCTTTTCCAAAAATAACATTTCTTTGTTCTTTTGCTAATTACAAAAGCTACACATGTTTATTGCAGAGGCAAGAGTAAGTTCAGAATAGCATTAAAAGACATTAAAACTCACCCGTGTCCTCCCCAACATTTTGATTGATTTCCTTCCAGTCTTTTCTCTAACCCTAGAGACACATGTGTACGTAGTCCCGCAGCTCTCGGGGGAGCTGCTGCTGCAGGCAGAGGCATTAAGGTGATTCATTGGCCACTTGCAGGGCATCGTGGCTGGACGGTGCTGTAGTGGCCACAGGAAGGCACTTGGGTACAGGCCCTTCCTGTGACCCTGGTCCTGGGGTGCTGGAATCACCCCTGGATGTAAGTTCTCTGAGGACACACCCTGGGTCCTAGGTCATCTTGGCAGACCCAGCGTCCAGCTCAGGGTGGGTCTGAGGTTGGCTGGAAGGGCTCACTACATGGTCATTCATATTGTGACAGACTGTGTGGGCATGCGAGAGTGAGGGAGAGAAGAAATGCATGAGTGATGGGCCTTGCAGGAAGGGGAAGAGAGGGAAGAGCCTGTGCTTCTCCTTTTGTAACGCTCCTCTGCCCCCAGCCATGTGTCCCTGCCTGGGGAGAGCGATGGTGGCTACATGGACATGAGCAAAGATGAGTCAGTGGACTACGTGCCCATGCTGGACATGAAAGGGGACGTCAAATACGCAGACATCGAGTCCTCCAACTACATGGCTCCTTATGATAACTACGTCCCCTCCGGTGGGTGCGCACAGGGTCCTCACACCTATGTAGTCACGCGTTCTTTTTTTTTTTTTAATTTTAAATTTGTTTAGGGCTTCCCTGGTGGCACAGTGGTTGAGAATCTGCCTGCTAATGCAGGGAACACGGGTTCGAGCCCTGGTCTGGGAAGATCCCACATGCCACGGAGCAACTGGGCCCGTAAGCCACAACTACTGAGCCTGCGCGTCTGGAGCCTGTGCTCCGCAACAAGAGAGGCCGCGAGAGTGAGAGGCCCGCGCACCGCGATGAAGAGTGGCCCCCGCTTGCCACAACTAGAGAAAGCCCTCGCACAGAAACGAAGACCTAACACAGCCATAAATAAATAAATAAAGCAAACTGTCAACAAGTAAAAATAAACACAATTATTAAAAAAAAAAAAGAAAGTAAAAAAATTTGTTTGGTCTTCGTTGCTGTGCACGGGCTTTCTCTAGTTACATCGAGCGGGGGCTACTCTTCGTTGCGGTGCGTGGGCTGCTTCTCATTGCGGTGGCTTGTCTTGTTGTGGAGCACGGGCTCTAGGTGCGCAGGCTTCAGTAGCTGTGGCTCATGGGCTCTAGAGTGCAGGCTCACTAGTTGTGGCGCACGAGCTTAGTTGCTCTGCGGCATGTGGCATCTTCCCGGACCAGGGATCGAACCCGTGTCCCCTGCATTGGCAGGCAGATTCTTAACCAGTGCGCCACCAGGGAAGTCCCATGTAGTCATACATTCTTTTCGAAACCTTTCCTCTGCCCAGCCTGGCAACAACCCTGCTAGGAAGGTGACCTTGTGCCCATTTCATAGATGCAGAAACTGAGGCTAGCCACCTGCCCAAAGCTGCTGTGTGGTGGAACCCCAATATGAACCCCCTGTTTCTGGGTCCAGAGATGTGTACACAGCCCACAGGGAGGGGAGGAGCTAGGGTGGGCACAGGGGTGCCTGACCTGCTGGGGCCTCGGGGAAGAGTGGTCTGCAGGTGCCAGGCTGATCTAGAGTCCCTAAAGAGCAGGCAGGCCAGGCTGAGCAAAGGTGGCCCAGGGCTAAAGCCAAAAGTTTTTCTGGCCAATGAAGGAGAATTTAAGTTAGATATTTGGAAATTGTTTTCCTTTTGTGGGAGGCTTAGAGGATCAGGAGTCTTCTCTCTGGGACATTCAGCCTCCACGAGCTAAAGGCCAGGAGCTCTCTAGCCCCAGGGAGACACAAGACAGTGGGTGTCCTTCTGCTCTTCCCTAGCTCCTGAGAGGACCTGCCGGGTGACTTTAATCAACGAGTCCCCAGTACTTAGCTACACGGATCTTGTGGGCTTCAGCTACCAGGTGGCCAATGGCATGGAGTTCCTGGCCTCCAAGAATGTATGTGTGGTCACAGTGAGCACAGTGGGGTCCTGGGGAGGTGGGTCACCCAGCCAGCCAGGGTGCTTCCAGTACGTGGCCCCCGTACGGCAGCCCTCTGGCGGGTGAGGACGGCAAATGCCCTCACACCTGGTGGCCCCTCACACCTGGTGGCCCCTCACACCTGAGCAGCGATGCATATTTCCCAAAGCCCCTGACACGGAGAGTCTTTCCCCAGAATTGCCCCCCACGGTCTCAGCTCCCGTCTCCTCCCTCCCCAGTGCGTCCACCGAGATCTGGCAGCCAGGAACGTGCTCATCTGTGAGGGCAAACTGGTCAAGATCTGCGACTTTGGCCTGGCTCGTGACATCATGCGGGATTCGAACTACATCTCCAAAGGCAGTGTGAGTGCCTTTCCCCGTCCTCGTGGTTCGCGTGGCTGTGGCTCATGGGAGATCAGGACACGGTTCTCGTGGCCTGACCTGCCCAGCGGCGATGGGCTCTGCCTGCCTAGCCCTGTGTGCAGGGATGGGAAGGGGAGCCACTAGCTGTGCATGGCGCGGGGGTGAGACGCCGAGGCCCTTGGGGTAGGCCGGGGGCTCAGATTTGCTGGTCGTGGCAGGGGGCAAGGGACCAGCTGTAAAGCGTCCTGGGGAGGTCGAAGGGGCAACAGGCCAAATGTGCTGTCCCAGTAGCGATGGTGAACAGAGGAAGAAGCCCAGGTGACAGGCTAAGACAGATGAGTAGGTGGCGGGCAGTATTTGGTTCAAAGGTGACCATCCTGCCTCCCACTCGTGTCCCCACTTCCCGCATAGGGACAGAACTGGAGGGATACTGGGCCCCAGAGGTGTAAGGCAGCTAGGATGAGAGCTGGGTGACACCTTGGCACGTCTCTTCCTCCCCCCAGCAGGGGCCTCTCCTGGGGTCAAGAAGGGGAGCCTGTTCCATGAGGAGCCTCAGACCCTGGGGCTCTCCCTCATGGACAGGGGTTACCGTGTCCCCAGCTTGTGCAAAAAGAAACTCAGCCTCCTGATCCTCTGACCAGCACTGGGATGGGCGTGGGAACCATGCACCAGCAGAGATGGGCCCTCAGGGACCGAGAAGTGAGAAGGAGCTGGGGGTGGGAACTGCCAGGCTTCCTCCCGGCTCCCAGGTGCAGAGGGGGCCCGGCCCCTCCTTGCACTCAGCAGCCTCCGCCCTCCCGCAGACCTTCCTGCCTCTGAAGTGGATGGCCCCCGAGAGCATCTTCAACAGCCTCTACACCACCCTGAGCGACGTGTGGTCCTTCGGGATCCTGCTCTGGGAGATCTTCACCCTGGGTACACTCCCTTCTTCCGCCAGTCCTCAGCCTCACGGCACATCGTCCGCCCTGACCGCTCACACCTTCATCCTGGTGGGGCTGTGGGACGGGCTCTGGGACAGGGCTCAGAAGCTCTGCTTCTTTCTTGTTGCTGTGTGACCTTGGCAAGTGTCTTGCCCTCTCTGGATCTCTTTACCTCCCCATCTCAGTAGAGATGAATTTGGACAGTGACATCAAAAAGCCTGCTTGGCTCCGGCTTTCTGTGGTTCTCGGATTCTGGGGAGGCACGCAGTCTCTGTCCAGAGCCTATGAGGGAGCCCACATTTCCCAATGCCAAGGCCACTGCACCCTCACCGACGCCGGGGTTGGGGTGCCTCTCCCTGTCCCATGGAAGAAGATTCTTGCCACTGTTCCGACACCCCGAGCCTGTGTTTCTTGTCTCTGTTCCCTAACAGGTGGCACCCCGTACCCAGAGCTGCCCATGAACGAGCAGTTCTACAATGCCATCAAGCGGGGCTACCGCATGGCTCAGCCTGCCCACGCCTCTGATGAGATGTGAGTGGAGCGCTTGGGAAGATACTCTGGGTGCAAAGGGTAGATATCCAGCTTTACCAGCTTAAGCCGAAAATAGGTCTGTTAGTTCAGAGATGTAGACAAATGTAGGTATAGCTGGATCCTGTTGTTCGTAAGACATCATCCACACTCTCTCATCCTACCCCGGGGCTCTGCTCTCCTCTGCGTCAGCCTCACCCTCAGATTGGCACCGTCCAAATGGCTACGTCCTAGCTGCTTTCACCATAGTTCCAGTGAAAGGTCCAGAGGTGACTGTCAAGGGCCCAGCTGGGGTCACCTGCCCATCCAGAAAACCAGCCACTGAGCTAAGGAGATAAAAATGCCTACTGGCCATGCCAGTGTCATGTGCTCACCAAGGTGTGATCAATCCCATGGGACCACTGAACTGAGGATGGTGGGAGGGCTTCCCAAGGGAACATGCAGGTGCAGTAATGGAAAAACCCCTCCCCTCCAAACTCTTCATTACTCCCCTTGTTCTGGGAGGTGGCAGACCCTGAGCCAGAGACCCTGACCCCTCTGCCCCTCTCCCCAGCTATGAGATCATGCAGAAGTGCTGGGAAGAGAAGTTTGAGATTCGACCCCCCTTCTCCCAGCTGGTGCTGCTTCTCGAGAGACTGCTGGGCGAGGGTTACAAAAAGGTACGTTGAGGGCTTCCCTGGTGGCGCAGTGGTTGAGAGTCCGCCTGCCGATGCAGGGACACGGGTTTGTGCCCCGGTCCGGGAGGATCCCACATGCCTCGGAGCGGCTGGGCCCGTGGGCCATGGCCGCTGAGCCTGCGTGTCCGGAGCCTGTGCTCCGCAACGGGAGAGGCCACAACGGTGAGAGGCCCGCGGACCGGAAAAAAAAAAAAAAAAAAAAAAAAAAAAAAAAAGGTACGTTGAGGCAGGGTTGGGGTGGGGAACGGAGAGTTCTGGTCCAGAAGTAGACACAGGGTACAAGGCTCTGTGTGACATGCTGGTACTAGGGGGACCATCCTTTCCCCTCTCTGGGCCTCAGTTTCCCTGTTGGTACTAATAAGGGACGGGCTGGAGCTGTGAGTGTAGTTTATTTTAGCAGCATAGAGGTTTTTAAAGTGAAGTCCTATGTGGAAGCTGATTAATTTAAAGTGGGAGCAGGAAGCCTACAGGCCCCTTCATCCTGCATCCTTCCTCATGCCTTTGCACCCAGACCAAGTCCTGGGCCTCCGTCACAAGTTTGAACAACCCCAAGCGAGATGACTGCTGAGGGCCTGACCACTTGGACCCTGTGGCGGGCTCATACAAGGCTTATGGAGCCAGCAGGGCCTTAAAAGCCTCCCTGCCCAACTACGAAGCTACAGTGGGGGGGATGCACGTGTCCTTTGGCCCAGACACAGCCCTTTCCCTCAGTCCATTCCTAAGCCCACTCCCAACCACATCTGTTTACAGCTCCAGGACCAGTGAGTTGGAAGGGAGTTGTCCCCCTTCAGTAGCAAGGGAGACTGTGGCCCCAGCGAGGGAGGCCATGGCAGGCAGAGAGCCCGTGCCTGTCTACCCTGAAGGGGGGAGGAGTTAGGGTTGCGGGTGCTAGTCCGATCACTGTCCTCTCCCTGGGTGACCCTGAGCTCATCTTGTCTGGTGAGAGGCCAGGTAGGAGAGCAGCTCAGCTGTGGGGCTTTGGGCAATTCTTCCTCTCTGAGCACCAGGCGCTTTATTTACATGAGGCGGGAGGGGCTGGGTCAGAATCTGCCCTTAGGTGATCCCTAAAGGCATTTCTGGTCTGACCCTCCCTGTGTCTCGGCTTCTTCCTGCCCTGCTGAGCAGAAGTACCAGCAGGTGGATGAGGAGTTTCTGAGGAGCGACCACCCAGCCGTCCTTCGGTCCCAAGCCCGCTTGCCCGGCTTCAATGGCCTCCGATCCCCCCTGGACACCAGCTCCGTCCTCTACACTGCTGTGCAGCCCAACGAGGGTGACAACGACTATATCATCCCCCTGCCTGACCCCAAACCCGAGGTTGCTGATGAGGGACCACTGGAGGGTTCCCCCAGCCTTGCCAGGTAGCCATTCTGACCTGCAGCCCAAAGCAGTAGTGTGCATAGTGTGTGTGTGTGTGTGTGTGTGTGTGTGTGTGTGTGTGTGTGTCTTTGTGTGTGTGTCTGTCTGTGTCTTCATGCCATCAGGCTTGCCTTAGAAGTAAGTTACCTAGGGTGAGTACTTATTCCTGCCAGTGAATAGAAGAGAGAATTCAACTCATTTGACCTTTGATGACCTCGAGTGGAAATGGCAGGCTGGTAAGAGAAAGTGGCCCGGGATATATTGTAAGGTAGCTCTTTCTCTAAAGGAGACTCCACAGGCCATCTACTCTGTCCTCTCTCTAGGCCCTGTCCTAGCCCTAAGGAGGAAAAGAGGAAAATCTAATTCGCATCCCCAGCACCCCATGTATTACTGTATGGTCATCGCCAGCCCCGTGGTCTGTCCTTTAGCACCATGCCCTGAGGACCCCAGGGAGCCTGGCACAGGGAGGCAGAGGTACCTACAGAAGTTCAGGCCAGAATTCAGACTGGGGAGGAGATTCGTGCTTTGCTTTTGCCTCGGGACGTGATGTCACGGTACGGGGAGGGCTTTGGAGGAAGGCCAGCTGTCGCCTGGACTAGATGTTCCCCATGTGGCCAGACCCATGCCCAAAACGAGATCCACCCTGTGGTGAAATGGCAGGGGCCCCAGACTGGGTTCCGGCTCCATCTCTGCCTCTAGCTGCCGTGAGACCCGGCCGCACATCTTCTCTGCCAGCCTGTCTCTCCACACGCACTAGGAGCACAGATAAGACTTAGAAGGCCCTCCCCACACTGTTTGAGAAGCTAATATTCCAAGGCTCCAAGTAGCCAGTGTATAGAGGGGTTGAGCTCAGAGTTTCAAACAGCTTGGGGTGTTAACGTTGTGCTTCTCTGGGCCCTCAGACAAGCTGCTTCCCCTCTCTGAACCTCAGGTTCCTGAAAACAGTAAGAGTACTTCTATTTGGAGGTTGTTGTGGGGATTAAATGAGATCGTTATACATTCAGGCATGCAGGAGAGAGACACTGACGGGTGAGCAATCAACCCGATCCGCTTTGAAGTCCCAACTCCTGTACTTACCCGCTGTGTGATGCAAGGCAATGATGTAACCTCTCTGAGCTGCACTTTCCTCACAGCGCCTGCCTTGCATAGTCTTTACAAGGATTCAGTGAGTTAAAATGTGTAAGGTGCATGCTGCGAGGGTGGGTAGATAGAAAGCTGTACGTTAATGCTGTTATTATTTCACTGTGGTTCCCTCCCAGCCTCTCACTCACTTGCCTCCCGCCTCTAGCTCCGCCCTGAATGAAGTCAACACCTCCTCTACCATCTCCTGTGACAGCCCCCTGGAACCCCAAGAGGAACCAGAGCCAGAGCCCCAGCCTGAGTCCCAGGTGGAGCCAGAGCCCAAGCGGCCGCCGGATTCCAGCTGCCCTGGGCCTCGGGCCGAGGCGGAGGACAGCTTCCTGTAGGGGCCGGCCCCCACCCTGCCCTACCCGAAGCTCCTCCTCTACCTCCCAGCACCCTGCGCCTCCTGGCCTGGCCCAGCCTCCCAACAGCCAGGCTGTTCCCATCAGCTGTCCCCTCTGGAAAGCTTTTGCCCCTGGCACATCACACCCCGACCCCTGGGGCTGGCTTAGGAGGTAAGAAAACTGTAGGGACCATGACCGGTCCTCTGCCTCTGGAGAGTGCGTGTGACTCTGAGCCAGGCTTCTCCCAGGGGACTCAGTTTCCCCATCTGTAAGATGGGAAAGGTGGGCTTGGCAACCCACAATCTGGGATTCTCACCCTGGCTGACAGATATGGAGGCTGGAATCCCTGAGGAGATGCTCAAGGTTCATGAGGTGGTAGGTTAACTTTTTTTCTGTTCAGCCAGCTGCCCCTCAAGGAGCTGCAGCTCTCTCCTTGCACTTTTTCCTGCCCAAGAGCTGGGGAAGGGACCCTAGCATCTCTGGCTCCTGGCTGAGCTAGGGCCTGGCCTTGGACAGTGTTGTCCCATCCAGAAGCCACCTCCCCTCAATGCCAGTCTTTGCTTTCCCAGGCCCAGGCTGGTCTGGGGCCTTCCACGCTTAATTAATGCTGGGGGCTGAGCCAAGGACAGGACACCCTGGCCTGTAGCCCCTGCCCCAGGCACTCGGGGTACACCTCCCCATAACATGCCTGTGTCCGTGTCTTCCTGGCCCCATGGATCCAGGGGTCTTTTTCCTCATCACTGCCAGTCTTACTCCACTCACCAGAGTCTCCAGGGCCAGATGGGCCCCACGTCTGTGATGAGTGTGTTGACGTGCCTGCAAGAGGTGTCCACATGTGTGGACCAATGTGGCATTGGACCCGCTAAGAGACCTTGGAGGAATCCCTCGCCCTCTGTTTTCCCTGTTGAAAAATGAGCAGGTCGGACTCATTGACTTCTGGTGCCCTGCCAGCACTAACATTCTAGAATATTCCAGGGGTTGCACACTTGCCCAGATGAAGCAAAGATAAACCCTCCAAACCTCTATCCTGGGTTAGTTGGGGTCTGGGGAGGTTCCAGACTACACAGCACACTCCAGGCATTCAGGAACTGTGCCCCTTCCCCAGGCCCCTGGCAAGTCCCCAAAGGCCAGCTGCCCAGGCCTTGACTCTGAGCGACAGCCAGTGTCCTGGAAAGCCCCCAGAAGCTGTCCCAGGGACATGGGGAGACCGTGGGACCCCTTTCAGCACCCACATGACCTCTGGAGCTATTCTGGGCAAAGGAGGCCGGGACGCAAGTCAGACCACCTGACACAGCCCACCACTCCAGTACCCGCTGTCCAGGTCTGTGCCGCAGACCTAGAGGACAGTGAAAGGACAAGAAACCTTGGATGGGGGACCTGAGGAAGAGGCGCAAGAGGTGGATACTTTGGGGGGTGTCTTTCCACCTGCCAGCTGCGCCACCCTGAGGCAGGAACCATAGAACATGGCTTTGTCTGCCCGGGGATGCTCACCTCACTGTATCTGCCAGCTGGGCACTGGAGCGGCCTGGGGTGTGAGGGCTGTGGCCAAGACTGCTGGTAGGGGAAGGGCTGGACGGAGGGTGAGGGAAGGTCAGCGCCTCTGGGCACCAGCCCCCTGTGTTGGTTGGCACCTCCCCGCCCCAGGACCCCCGAAGCCTGGTCAAGGAGAGGGCGTGGGTTCTCACTACGGTACCAAAGATGTAATCACCTAGGTTTACAAGTATTTTTAGGACTCACATTAACTCACATTTATACAACAGAAGTGCTATTTTGTATGCCATCAACTTTTCTTCTCTGTGTACTTTTTTTTTTTTTTTTTTTTTTTTTTTTTTTTTTTTTTTTTTTTTTTTTTTTTTTTTTTTTTTTTTTTTTTTAAGAGAAAGATTTTAATATTAAACCTGACCCACAGACCTCGTGGTGTCTCGCAGGTTTGGATCCCCGGGCCCGGGAGGTGGCAAGAGTGGGGTAGGGCAGCCGGGCTCGCCCAGCTGTAGGATCCCTGCACAGGGCCCTTCAGCTCAAGTCTTGCTTCCATCTGTGAGACGGGGGTCTTCACGCTCCCCCCAGCTCCTCGCTGGTAGCCGGGTGACCTGGACCTCAGGCTTTGGTTTTCCAGGTTGTGAAAGGAGAAGGCTCTTCCGGCTCTGCAGTGCCCGGCTCTGGGTTGGGAGCCTGCGCTCCCCCGCCAGCCCCACTCCGCCCCACCATGTGCTTTGGCTTTGGCTGTTAAGCCAGGCCACCCACCTCCCTCCCTCCATTCTGCCCACGGGCCCAGACTGAGGCTGGTGTGGCTCATGAGAGGCATCCGCTAAAGCCCAGATCCCAGGCCCCGGTGAGTAGTGGTCGTGTCTCAGGTAGGAGCAGGGCAGATGGACAGAGCACCCAAGGGGTCCAGAGAGCAGGAAGAATGAGGAGAGAGGGTGAAGGAGAGAGAGGAAGAGGAAGGGAGGAAGACGTGGGGTGAGAGCCACCAGGACAAGGCCAGGGGAGGGAAAGGCGGCCCAGCTGGGTCTCTGAGAGCAAAGTCTAGCCAGGCTGGGAGAGGGGTGTGGACCGGCCTCCCACGGCTGCAGCAGCTCGGTGGCGTGGGGCTGGCACGAACCAGGCATCTCGGTGTCTGCTCAGTATTGGACGTCGGCTCCACTGCCCAGCCCAGGCCTGGGAGACCTGGCGGCAGTAGGGGGCCAGGGCAATAGAGCTGCCCGGGGCCGAGGGCAGGGTGCACAGGTCCTGGACCCAGCCTGGGGCTTCCTGGCCCTCCCGCCTGAGCCCTTTGGGAGGGGTCACCTGAGGTGGAACCAGGTTTCAGCTTGAGATCTGTCACACCTCACTACGTGACCTTGGCCATTCCCTGCTCACTCTGAACTGGGGAAGGGGCCTCTCAGTTAGTTTCTGGGGACAGCCACCTGGTTTTGGAACCACAGGTCTCCCTGGACTGCCTCCAGGAGTCTGGGGCCGTGGCTGCCAGTGGGGAGAGGAACAGAGACGTGGGGCAGCTCTGACTCACAGCCGCCAACTCGGGCGGTTGAGCCACCCTCAGGGAAACCCCGCCTGCTGCAGGGCCCACCCTCCTGGGGTTCCTGGCCTTAGAGCCCGTGATCCCCTCTCTCCTGGCTGTGGTAGGAGATGAATAAGCCATACCCAGATCTGCCCTGTAAAGAGAGTAGACGACCACATTCCAGATGCGGATTACCCTCGCCCGTGGGAAAAGCCTCCATCTGGAGGTCAGGGGACCTTGGCTCCCTCCATCTCAGGCCTGCTCCTTATGGGGCCTTGGGTGGATTATTCGGCCTCAGGCCTCCACTTCCGCAGAGGTAAATGGAGCTGATGATGCCACAAAGGGATAAAGGAGGATAGAGCGCTGGTGCCCACTTACTGAACAGTTACTCTGTGCCAGGCCTGTCCTGTTGCTGCACACATTTTCTCATTCGCCCTTACATCCACCCTGTGAACCAGGGGCTACTATTGTCCCCATATTACAAAGGGGACACCAGTTCACGGGGGTTTGAAGTGGCTTGCCCAAGGTCATCTGGTCGGTGTGGCAGGGAGGGGATAGGAGCCTGGGCCTGGCCGACCCCCAGGTCAGCCCTAGGGGAGGCGAAGCCCAGGCCAGCTTGCATGGCAGGTGAGTGGGGAAGCCTGGGTCTCAGCCCCGGTCTCCTGACTCCAGACCTCTGAGTCTGTGGGTCCCCAGGAGAAAGCACTGGGGGAGAGGAGAGAGCTAAGGGAGTCTGAGGGCTAAGTGGACATAATAAACAAGAGTCTGGTGGGGGACTTGGAACCCACAGTCCCCTGTGCAGAGGGGTGCAGGAGCTGGAGGACGGGGGAACCGCAGGTCAACCTCTGCGGGCTCCCGCCACTCAGGCGGGCCCACGGGAATGGGTGAGCTGGAATTTTCCTGCCAGACGATGAGCCACTTGACTACACAATTCTTCCGCCACCCTATTCACAGCCAGCGTCCTTGTTCCTGGAAAAAGAGGGAAAGACTGAAAGCTTTTGCTGAGGGGCCCTGACCCTCAGCTGATGAGGGGCCCCACGACCCCCGTTAATGCCCCTTCTTTGAATTAGAGCCCTGTCTCCACAAGGTCTCTTCTATTTCAGTTTCTCATTCAGCTTCATAGTCATTTAAAATTACTTTTATAAAAGCATTTATATAATTTATGCCTACACTAAAAAGGGTCTATTACCAAATATGTAACATAGAAAGAGACCCTTGAGACCCTGACTCTGTCCCGGTCCCTCACCATTTAGAGTGGGTTCCTATCGGTGGACCCATGTGATGTTCACAGTACAGCCAGGAGACATGCCAAGGGAAGATCCAGGTGAGGAAGCTGAGGCTCAGAGCCATGAAGTGCTGGCCCAAGGTCACACACAGGGAGGCTCATGCCTGCCAGTCTGGTGTCCTTGCTCCTGCCTTTCTCAAGGAGTCTCTGAGTCCAGTTCCTGGACGCAGAGGGGGCAGCAGGCTGAGCCTTGGAGTCAGGGTGCTGACCGTCCACTCGGGGTGAGGCTCCCGGAATTCCCTGGGTAGGCTCCTCCTTGGAGGGGGCTTCTGGGGCTTCTCTGGGCTGCGATGGGTTCCCACAGCTCAGAATACCATCTGCCGTGACCTGCCAGGACTTTTGGGGCCTGCTGAAGGGGCCCCAGCCTGGGGCAGGGGGTGGCCCTTCTCAGGATCCAGCAGGGGCTCAGGGACATCACAGAAGCCAGACTATCTCTCTGTGGTCCCTCTCCCACTGGCTCAGCCCCTGCCCTTCTCTCTGGTCCCCCTTTGGTATGCTTGTCTGCCCTCTCCAACAGCTCCCTATGCCTCCACCCCCCCGCTTAGGGCTCCTTTCCTCCTAACAAGGTTGGGGCAGTTCCAGTCTTTCTGGTTTGGGGTTTTGTGGGTAATCACTGCAAGGAACTAGAAAGTCACAAACACAGGGAAGTGACAAAGCTTCTGGAAAATCACAGAATTCTCAGAGTGGTTGTTCCCCTTCTGAAGGGACAAGATGGCCGCTTCCACGCCTGAAAGTTTTTCTTCTCCGTTACTGATCTTCTTGAAGCCTACTATGACCTTGGCTCTCCTTTGCTCAAACACCTTTGATGGCTCCCCACAGCCCAACAAACAAAGTCCAGACATCCTCATGTGGTCTTTAAGGCCCTTCCTGACCTGCCTCCAACCTCTCCTGTTCCCTCCCCACATCAAGGCCTGTCTACCCCTGTGTGGCCACAAGCTGTCCAACCTTCCAAGAGTGCACAAGGCTTCCCTTTTCTCCACATCCTTACCAACACCTATCGCTTGTCTTTTTGATAATAGCCATTCAAACAGGTGTGAGGTGATATCTCATTGTGGTTTTGATTTGATTTCTTGATGATTAGTGATGTGCATCTTTTCATGTGCCTGCTGGCCGTATGTAGATCTTCTTTGCAAAAATGTCTATTCAGTTCCTCTGTCCATGTTGTAATTGGATTTTTGTTTTTTAGGTTTTTTTTTGCTATTGAGTTGTATGTGTTACTTACATTTTGGATATTAACCCCTTATCAGATATATAATTTGCCAATATTTTCTCCCACTTCGTAGGTTACCTTTTCATTTTGTTAGTTTTTGCTGTGTAGAAGCCCCACCTCTGCATTTCTGTTGGTGCTGTGCTTACCACCTAGGACTCCCAGCCCTCTATGACTGAAAGGCAAAGTCTTGCTCTAACTTCCAGCCCAGCCCAAAGCCACCTCCTCCAAGAAGCCTTCCTAATACTCATCTGGAAGTGGATTCTTT